TTTGGAGTGTGGTTGGAAACCCACACAGGCACAGGTCTCTAACCCTCAAGGAGTGTACAATCTAAGGTCCCTAACCCTCAAGGAGCGTACAATCTAAGGTCCCTAACCCTCAAGGGGCGTACAATCTAAGGTCCCTAACCCTCAAGGAGCGTACAATCTAAGGTCCCTAACCCTCAAGGAGCGTACAATCTAAGGTCCCTAACCCTCAAGGAGCGTACAATCTAAGGTCCCTAACCCTCAAGGGCGTACAATCTAAGGTCCCTAACCCTCAAGGGGCGTACAATCTAAGGTCCCTAACCCTCAAGGGGCGTACAATCTAAGGTCCCTAACCCTCAAGGGGCGTACAATCTAAGGTCCCTAACCCTCAAGGAGCTTACAATCTAAGGTCCCTAACCCTCAAGGAGCGTACAATCTAAGGACCCTAACCCTCAAGGAGCGTACAATCTAAGGACCCTAACCCTCAAGGAGCGTACAATCTAAGGACCCTAACCCTCAAGGAGAAAAAAATCTAAGGTCCCTAACCCTCAAGGAGAAAAAAATCTAAGGTCCCTAACCCTCAAGGGGCATACAATCTAAGGACCCTAACCCTCAAGGGGAGCTTACAATCTAAGGTCCCTAACCCTCAAGGGGAGTACAATCTAAGGTCCCTAACCCTCAAGGAGCGTACAATCTAAGGTTCCTATCTCACATTCATACATACACATACTAGGGACAATTTAGACAGGAGCCAGTTCACCTACCACCATGTCTTTAGAGTGTGGGAGGAAACCGGAGTACCCGGAGGAAACCCACACAGGCACAGGGAGAAAATGCAAACTCCAGGCAGGTGGTGCCATGGTTGGGATTTGAACAAACAACCCCTAGCACTGCCAGGCAGAAGTGCTAACCATTCCGCCACTGTGACTTGAATGGGTTAGCCGGTTTCTGTAGATAAAACCTGTTTTCTGTAAATATAATATGTGACAGCTTTTGTTTGATTTCTCCGCATTCTGTTCAGCATAAGATCCATTTACCAGCATGTTCAGAACTCTATACCAGATTCTAATCTTAGTATACGCTCATCTGCTTGCTGTTGCCAAACAGCCGTGTCTTAGGCAGCGAGCCATAGCTCAGCACATCTGTTATTGTCAATTACGAAGCGTGTTCTACGTAGCTCTATTATTAGCCTTGTGCTGTATGTGTGTGCTTTGCCGTTGTAGATTATACTGCACACAATTCAAAACATAAAAAATTAAAAACGTGCATGCTAGAACTGTCCATAGAAAATCGCAGCTTCTATGTGTTTGCTGCTACAGATTTGAGAATAAAAGCTAAATTCTGATTGGTTGCTAATGATAAATAATGATAAGGACAGAAAGATACAAACTTTAAAATTACAGAAACTGGATCAGCTTGTGTTAACAGATAGAAAACAGAAAAGAGCAAACAGGTGGAGCAAACATCTAGTGCATTATCCAAGGTGTATTAAAAAGTAAAAATGATGAAAACATTATTATTATACAGGATTTATATATTATTATTATTATACAGAATTTATATATTATTATTATTATACAGAATATATATTATTATTATACAGAATTATATATTATTATTATACAGGATTTATATATTATTATTATTATACAGAATTTATATATTATTATTATTATACAGGATTTATATAGCGCCAACAGTTTGCGCAGCGCTGTACAATATAACGGGAGACAATACAATTACAATACATGTCAGTACAGAAGGAATAGGAGGGCCTGGCTCGTGGAGCTTACAATCTAAAGGAAGGTGGAGGTGATACAAAAGGTGATAGCTGGGGGGGATGATCTGGTGGAGGTGATTCAAGTACAGTTCTTAGGTGGAGGTGGGGTAGGCTTCCCTGAATAAGCAAGTTTTCAAAGACAGAGTGCGGGCTGACCGGACATACTGTGGTAAGGAGTTCCAGAGGATGGAAGAGGCTCTGGAGAAGTCCTGGAGGCGAGCGTGGGAGGAGGTGATGAGGGAGCTAGAGAGGAAGATGTCTTGGGAGGAGTGGAGTAGGCGATTTGGGCGATTTTAATAATAATTGGAGGTGGGGTAGGCTTCCCTGAAGAAGTGAGTTTTCAAAGATCGCCTAAAGGCAGACAGGGTGGGGGCTGACCGGAGATACTGTGGTAAGGAGTTCCAGAGAATGGGAGAGGCTCTGGAGAAGTCCTGGAGGAGAGCGTGGGAGTAGGTGATGAGGGAGCTAGAGAGGAAGATATCTTGGGAGGGGCGTAGTGGACGATTTGAGCGATATCTGCAGATGAGGTTGGTGATGTAGCTAGGGGCAGTGTTGTGGATGGCTTTGTAAGCTGTGGTTAGTATTTTGAATTTTATACATTGGGTTAGTGGAAGCCAGTGAAGAGATTGGCAGAGAGGGTCAGCAGTCGCTGATCGGTTGGTAAGGTGGATGAGTCTGGCAGCAGTCGCTGATCAGTTGGTAAGGTGTATGAGTCTGGCAGCAGTCGCTGATCGGTTGGTAAGGTGTATGAGTCTGGCAGCAGTCGCTGATCGGTTGGTAAGGTGTATGAGTCTGGCAGCAGTCCCTGATTGGTTGGCAAGGTGTATGAGTCTAGCAGCAGTCCCTGATCGGTTGGCAAGGTGTATGAGTCTAGCAGCAGTCGCTGATCGGTTGGTAAGGTGTATGAGTCTGACAGCAGTCGCTGATCGGTTGGTAAAGGTGTATGAGTCTGACAGCAGTCGCTGATCGGTTGGTAAGGTGTATGAGTCTGACAGCAGTCGCTGATCGGTTGGTAAGGTGTATGAGTCTGGCAGCAGTCCCTGATCGGTTGGTAAGGTGTATGTGTCTGGCAGCAGTCGCTGATCGGTTGGTAAGGTGTATGTGTCTGGCAGCAGTCGCTGATCGGTTGGTAAGGCGTATGAGTCTGGCAGCAGTCGCTGATCAGTTGGTAAAGTGTATGAGTCTGGCAGCAGTCGCTGATCGGTTGGTAAGGCGTATGAGTCTAGCAGCAGCATTCATAACAGACTGAAGGGGGGATAGCCTGTGTAACGGTAAACCAGTGAGGAGGGAGTTGCAGTAATCCAAGCGGGATAAAACCAAGGCGTGGATAAGTTTTTTTATGGTGTCATTGGTCAAAAACATACTCACAAACATAGCATGTATGTAAAGCTTATGACCAGCCTGGATGTAAGTCATGCTATAAATAGCTAAGGCCGATGCCAAGCTCTGAGGAAAGGGACTCATCTCCGAATCGCGTCAGTAACCGACCACATTGACAGTCGGACACCCTGCCCATTGCTGTGGTCATCTCCATTGTCTTACAAAGCTTTACATACATGCTATGTTTGTGAGTATGTTTTTTTCGTCCATTTTACTTTTTAATAAACCTTGGAAAATGCACTAGGTGTCACCCGTTTGCTCTTTTCTAGTTGTTGATTTCCCCATCTGAGGAGGGCTGCATCTCTGAAACACTATCCATAGGCCACCTTTTGTACTGGTTCCCCTGGCCGTCCTTTGGCATTTGACTCCTGGAGTGCTGGCGAGTATACACTGTTGCCCATTTTAGATACAAAACAGAACGTAACCAAGTCTATACATGCCTACTGATATCAAGTGTTTATCTTCTGCAAGGAGTACACCCCCTGTTTTGGATTTAAGGGGCTATACTGATAGTATTGCAAAACTGGGCTTAACTTTTTATCAACTTACATGGGTCATTCAAATTTCACATGTTGGTAGAGTAACTCTTCCAGTAACTAGTCCAGAGCTACCAAAAACCTAAAAGAAAACAGAAATTGTAATTTCACATTTTTAAGTAGATCCTGCCAAATAAAATTATATATATTAGAATATAAATAGTCTGTCAATTATTTAAAAGATTCAAACATGTAAAACTCCAGCCTTCTATAAGATATCCACTTTTAGAACTTTTTCGGTGTGCCCCCCTGTTCCTGGCTTCACCTCTTTTTTACTAAGGGTGTTGGGTTTTGATTTCTAAGCTAAGCCCAACCTATCTGCAAGTTCCCTTGTCCAGTGAACAAAAATGACCGACACACTACAAATTAAAGACCTCAATTCTGTGTTAGGTCGTGAAATGAAACATACACTCAACGGCCGCTTTATTAGGTCCACCTGTTCAATTGCTTGGTGACACAAATTTCTAATCAGCCAATCACATGGGAGCGGCTCAATGCATTTAGGCATGTAGACGTGGTGAAGATGACTTGCTGAAGTTCAAACCGAGCATCAGAATGGGGAAGAAAGGGGATTTAAGTGACTTTGAACGTGGCATGGTTGTTGGTGCCAGACGGGCTGGTCTGAGTATTTCTAAAACTGCTGATCTACTGGGATTTTCACGCACAACCATTTCTAGGGTTTACAGAGAATGGTCTGAAAAAGAGAAATGTTCCAACAGTAACTCAAATAACCACTCGTTACAATCAAGGTATGCAGAATACCATCTATGAAAGCGCAACATGTCGAACCTTGAAGCAGATGGGCTACAGCAGCAGCAAGCCACACTGGGTAGCAAGGTGTACCTAATAAAGTGGCTGGTGAGTGTTTATTGAACAGAAAAAAACATAACTCTTGGCATACTGAAATTTTAGCTATATAGATTCTCATGCTATTGCCATTAGCCGTGGTCCCTTCTCAAGGTGTAAAAGGTAAAGGTGTGCGGTTGATTTTGGTCCAGGCCCTGTACAATGAGACTCCCCTCATTAGGTAATTTGGCACTCTCAGTGGACAAGGGTATAGTCTGAGAGCAATATTAGCTTCCAGAGTCATAGATTAGCTCAAAAATGATCTAAATTATTCATTAAAAGTACATTAGAATCATTCAGAGGCCAATTTGTATGCAAAATTCTGATATATAAAAAGCCTGTTGCTGAGCCTTAATGAAAATTTAAAGGCACATCAATTATGGTTGAATCAAAAATGTCTAGACTGTTAATTTCAATTTGAAACACAAAGCTACAATATTCTTCCTCAAAACCTCTACTAATCTAGGTTTCCTTCTTTTCAGATCCCCCAACTGTCAAAGTCAATACTGTTATTGAACCTTCAGGTAATGTGTTTCCTATCTTCAGTTTCCTGCCCATCCATTGTCTACTAAGTCTTTACGTATTTGTTTAATGTGCAGTTCAGTAAGAGTGTCCTCTACTATATGGCCAAAAGCTTGCAGACGCCTCACCATCGCATCTACGTAAATGAGTTTGCCGGACATTTCATTCCATTCCAAAACCATGAGAATTTGTTTGGAGTTTCACCTTGCAGCTGTAACAGCCTCCACTTTTCTAGGAGGGCTTTTCTCAAGATTTTGGAGTGTGTCTGTCACGATCCGCCTGGCAGCGTCTCTATTAGTCCACAGCACGGATTTCCTCAGGGCGCGGGGTCTAAGTCCCAATCTGCTTATTCACCAGGGCCCCTGATGGTGGGGATGGACTTGGAGCAGACTGAGACCAGGTCGCGACCCCTGAGCAGGGGCGGACTGACAACTCATAGGGCCCCTGGGCAATAGGGGATCATGGGGCCCCTGTATCCTTGCCCAAACTCAAAAAACCTATGAAAAAGGTACCAGAGGCATCTCATGGGGCCCCCTACTGACCCCGGGCCCTCGGGCAGTGCCCGAGTTTCCAAATGGTCAGTCCGCCCCTGCCCCTGAGTACGTCCGACAATGGTAGAGAGTACCATCAGAGGAGTGCAGGGTAAGGACTCTGCTGTGAAGAGGCTGGCAGACCTGGTAACCAGGGACGATCCCTGCGGGATGGATAGATGGATCGTCTGGGTGGCTGGAAGCGTAGTCAGGCGGGCCAGGTCAGCAACGTGCGGGCAGCGAGGTACCGGAGGAGAAGGCAGAGAATGGTCGAGGTCACAAGCCGGGTTCAGTAACTAGCGGACAGCGCGGTACAAGGGGTCAGGCAGAAGGATGGTCAGGCAAGCCAAGGGTTAAGCAGGATACAATCAGCAGGGTCAGGTACAATGCAGAGGTCGGCAACAGGAGTAGCACAGGATCAGGTATCAGGACAGAGCACAAAAGACCAAACGGCAATTGACATACCTCTAATCCAGTTTAAATAGCCCGCCCTGCGCTGTCATTGGTGCCAGGCGCGTGTCCGCGATCGCGAGTGCGCGGCCATCGCGATCGCCCGCTGATTCGAACGCATTGGTGTCCTGCGCATGCGCCACTTGGCGTATCGCGGCAGGGACACCGATCTCTGACAGTGTCTATGGGAATTTGTTCCCATCCAGCCCAAAAAAAAAACATTTGTGCCACCAGGAACTGAGGTTGGATGAGAAGACTTGGCTTGCAATTGGGGTTCCAACGTATCTCAAAGGTGTTTAAAAGGCGTTTGTGTAAGTGACTTGAGTGGCCTTTGCCATGTCTTCATGGAGCTGGCTTTGAGTATATGGACATAGCCATGTTAGAAAAGAAAAGTGCTTTCACCAAATGTTGCCACAAGGTTGGAAATTCAAATTCCAATTGTCCAAAATGTGTTTATATGCTGAAGCATTAACAATGCCTTTTACTGGAAAAATGGACGGGTGTCTACAGAATTTTGTTTGTGTACTAAATAAAAGCCATATGTGTCCCTAAAAAAAATGATAACAATTTTCTAGGTATGAAAATCAGTAATATAGTTATTGTCAACTTAGCTGATGTTTGCTAAATTCGGTCTGGGCCTCTTGGCATTAACAAAACCCGTAACACTTATTGCACGAAAAGTTACAGGTCTTATTTTTTTTTACGAGCAATTTGAGCTGCATCACTAAACCACATTCATCTCTTTTGTTTCTTCCCCAATTTTTGTTTTTACAAAAATTTGCAGACAGCTATGTAAATCAAAAAATACATCCTGCACCTGTATTTTTAACACCTTGTGGTGGTGGAGTGCTCAGCCAATGGTGATGCTGTAATAACTTTGTGACAAAATGGCAGCGCTCCAAAGATTAAACCTCAATATTTGACTGGGGTCATATACAGTATGCAAAAAAAATGGTTAGAAGTAGAGAAAGATACATAGTTAACTCTATGTTTCAGAAGCAAGGAGTTCCCCTTTGGTCTGCCAACTTAAAGTGGTTGTAAACGTCAGACAATAAATAGGAACAAAGCATATCCTTCTGTAGTGTGTACTTGTCCCAATTCAGAGCACTAAGTGCCATTTCCATCTGCTGCTTTGTTCCTTTTGGCATTAACAAAACCCGTAACACTTATTGCACGAAAAGTTACGTCTTATTTTTTTTTACGAGCAATTTGAGCTGCATCACTAAACCACATTCTTCTCTTTTGTTTCTTCCCCAATTTTTGTTTTTACAAAAATTTGCAGACAGCTATGTAAATCAAAAAATATATCCTGCACCTGTATTTCTAACACCTTGTGGTGGTGGTGGTGGAGTGCTCAGCCAATGGTGATGCTGTAATAACTTTGTGACAAAATGGCAGCACTCCAAAGATTAAACCTCAATATTTGACTGGGGTCATATACAGTATGCAAAAAAAAAAGGTTAGAAGTAGAGAAAGATACATAGTTAACCGTAGGTTTCAGAAGCAAGGAGTTCCCCTTTGGTCTGCCAACTTAAAGTGGTTGTAAACCTCAGACAATAAATAGGAACAAAGCATATCCTTCTGTAGTGTGTACTTGTCCCAATTCCAGAGCACTAAGTGCCATTTCCATCTGCTGCTTTGTTCCTTTTGGCATTAACAAAACCCGTAACACTTATTGCACGAAAAGTTACGTCTTATTTTTTTTTACAAGCAATTTGAGCTGCATCACTAAACCACATTCTTCTCTTTTGTTTCTTCCCCTTTTTTTTGTTTTCACAAAAATTTGCAGACAGCTATGTAAATCAAAAAAGACATCCTGCACCTGTATTTTTAACACCTTGTGGTGGTGGTGGTGGTGGAGTGCTCAGCCAATGGTGATGCCGTGATAACTTTGTGACAAAATGGCAGCACTCCAAAGATTAAACCTCAATATTTGACTGGGGTCATATACAGTATGCAAAAAAAAAAAGGTTAGAAGTAGAGAAAGATACATAGTTAGGGTTAACTATGTATCTTTCTCTATTCTAACCTTTTTTTTTTTTGCATACTGTATATGACCCCAGTCAAATATTGAGGTTTAATCTTAGGTTTGAGGTTTAAACATAGGGTTATGTTTCAGAAGCAAGGAGTTCCCCTTTGGTCTGCCAACTTAAAGTGGTTGTAAACCTCGGACAATAAATAGGAACAAAGCGTATCCTTCTATAGTGTGTACTTGTCCCAATCCAGAGCACTAAGTGCCATTTCCATCTGCTGCTTTGTTCCTTTTGGCATTAACAAAACCCGTAACACTTATTGCACGAAAAGTTACATGTCTTATTTTTTATGCAAGCAATTTGAGCTGCATCACTAAACCACATTCTTCTCTTTTGTTTCTTCCCCAATTTTTGTTTTCACAAAAATTTGCAGACAGCTATGTAAATCAAAAAATACATCCTGCACCTGTATTTTTAACACCTTGGTCTGCCAACTTAAAGTGGTTGTAAACCTCAGACAATAAATAGGAACAAAGCGTATCCTTCTATAGTGTGTACTTGTCCCAATCCTGAGCACTAAGTGCCATTTCCATCTGCTGCTTTGTTCCTCTGCTATCAGCTGACACCAAGAGAAAAATGGTGACAGGGGAGGGACCTCCAGCAGATTGACAGCCCAGCTCTCTTCCTGTGAGCTTTGTGGATAGGGGTGTCTCTTCAATCCAAACTGCTCTCAGAGCTCTCATCTCTATGCTCTGCAGAATGTAACTTCAGTTCTCCGCCCAATTTTTTTAAACTCTCAGACAAGCTTTATAAATTCAGCACTTTGAACAGATATAGAGAAGAGAAGACTGCAGATAAAAAGGTACAGCTTATGTAGGATGAATTGTTTCATCTCTGTGTATCATTTGAGGCTAGTAACTTCACTGGATATGTAAGGGCTTACAACCACTTTAAGAAAGGGGTAGGAAAGAAATCTGGAAGGGTAGCACTCAAACCTTATGGTAATCCTAATGTTATAGGGAGTACAGAGCTATTCAGCTGAGATATCTGGATTCTTCAGCCTCTCCAGTCCAAAAGACCTCCACTGTCTCTTCGGTTTGTACCTTAGGAATCCAAGATTGAAGAACCACACCAAAATGTGAACGCACAGATATAGATTTATTCTAAGGTACTTTATGATATAGACTTTAGCACAAAATCATTGTATTTGGGGAGCCAGTTTGAAGTGAAAGGTACTAAATACTAGACTGAATACAAATTATCCAGTTTTAACCAAATTGTTGAAGATCAAGAGTTTGTCAGCAGCTGGTCTGGTTCAGGCAGCCTTGGGGCTTCAAGCCCTGATGAGGTGTTATTTCCTGACGAAATGCATTGGATTGTGGTAAAGTCTTTCACCTTACCCAGGAATAAATCTGTATCTGGATGATCAAATGTTGGTGTGGTGCTTCAATTTCAAATTTACTTTGAGAAAGAGGACTTCTGTGTCTCCAACACAGCCTTGTAACTATGTATCTTTCTGTACTTCCAAGCTCTTTTTTTGCATACATGATCTCAATAAAATAAAAAGGTTTCACCATTGGAGCGCTGGCTTTGTTTTCACGAAGCTGTGTAAACAAGCCCTGAGTTTGTTCGCCCAGATATAGATTCATTGTAAGGTAAGATAAATACATCAAAAGATATTCAACACATTATGGGGGGGGTTTGTCAGCAGCTGGTCTGGTTCAGGCAGCCTTGGGGCTTCAAGCCCTGAAGAGGTGGTATTTCCTGACGAAATGCGTTGGATTGTGGTAAAGTATTTTACTTTACCCAGGAAAAATCTGTATGTGGACGATCAAATGTTGGTGTGGTGCTTCAATCTCAAATTTAGTTTCAGAAAGAGGACTTCTGTGTCTCCAACACAGCCTTGTAACTATGTATCTTGCTGTACTTCCAAGCTCTTTCTTGCATACCTGATTTCAGTAAAATAAAAAGGTTTCACCATTGGAGCGCTGGCTTTGTTGTCATGAATCTGTGTAAACAAGCCCTGAGTTTGATCGCCCAGATATAGATTCATTATAAGGTAAGATAAATACGTTAAAAGATATTCAACACATTTTGAGGGTTTGTCAGCAGCTGGTCTGGTTCAGGCAGCCTTGGGGCTTCAAGCCTTGAAGAGGTGGTATTTCCTGATGAAATGCGTTGGATTGTGGTAAAGTCTTTTACCTTACCCAGGAATATAATCTGTATCTGGACGATCAAAAATGTTGATGTGGTGCTTCAATCTCAAATTTAGTTTCAGAAAGAGGACTTCTCTGTCTCAAACACAGTCTTGTAACTATGTATCTTTCTGTACTTCCAAGCTTGTTCTTGCATACATGATCTCAGTAAAATAAGGAGGTTTCATCATTGGAGCGCTGGCTTTGTTGTCATGAATCTGTGTAAACAAGCCCTGAGTTTTATCGCCCAGATATAGATTCTTCTTAAGGTAAGATATAGACGTTAAAAGATATTCAACACATTTTGGGAGTTTGTCAGCAGCTGGTCTGGTTCAGGCAGCCTTGGGGCTTCAAACCCTGATGAGGTGGTATTTCCTGACGAAATGCGTTGGATTGTGGTAAAGTCTTTTACCTTACCCAGGAATAAATCTGTATCTGGACGATCTAATGTTGGTGTGGTGCTTCAATTTCAAATTTACTTTGAGAAAGAGGACTTCTGTGTCTCCAACATGGCCTTGTAACTATGTATCTTTCTGTACTTGTTCTTGCATACATGATCTCAGTAAAATAAAGAGGTTTCATCATTGGAGTGCTGGCTTTGTTGTCATGAATCTGTGTAAACAAGCCCTGAGTTTGATCGCCCAGATATAGATTCTTTTTAAGGTAAGATATAGACGTTATATCATGTACCTGGTGATGGAGGCCAATGGAGAGAGGGCTTCCCTTGCGGCTAAGTTCCGGACTCCCCTGAGAGTGGGACAGCAGGAGTCTGGCCCAAAGTTGCACAGGTCGCCTGTAGGAGTGCTGGTTGGTGGTCCACTCAGGAGCACAGGTGGTGCATGGAGACAGGTCTGCAGACAGGAGGCGCCTGTGCGTGGTATGCAAGCCCTTCCGGGATTTGGATGTTTACTGGATAGTCGGTTCAAGCCAAGGTCAGGTACCAGGTGGGAATCAGAGTGGTCGTGGCCAGATGGGATAGCTGAGGTGATTCACAGAGAAGCGGGAGAGAGAGAGTATCTGTAAGCAGAGCCGAGGTTAGATCAGGGGTAAAGCAGAGTAGACAGGTCCAGGAGCAAGCCGAGTCGGTAACAGGAAATCACAGTCAGAATCACAGGAAACAGGAACAGGAACAGGGCACGAGAAGCTAGAGATCATCCAGCAACCAGAGGAAGTGATGAGCCTCCTTATAAAGGCCATCTGGCACCAGACTGAGGCTGATTTGTACTTCTGCGGCCATGTAAAGTACTGGCAGAAATGCCAGATCTTCCAGAACTCCTGCCGTGGACAGGACCCTGACACGTTAAAAGATATTCAACACATTTTGGGAGTTTGTCAGCAGCTGGTCTGGTTCAGGCAGCCTTGGGGCTTCAAGTCCTGATGAGGTGGTATTCCCTGACGAAATGCGTTGGATTTGTATTAAAGTCTTTAACCTTACCCAGGAATAAATTTGTATCTGGACGATCAAATGTTGGCACAGTGCTTCAATCTAAATTTACCTTGGGAAAGAGAACTTCTGTGTCTCCAACACAACCTTGTAACTAGGTATCTTTCTGTACTTCCAAGCTCTGTTTTGCATTTATGAGCTCCATAAAACGAAAAGGGTTTCATCTTCGGAGTTGTGGCTCTTTTGTCACAAAGCTGTGTAATACAAACCCCGAGTTGTATGATCATCTCATAATTTTGCTATTTGTAGAAATTACTTTAGAGAACCATACGGTGGCCGTGAAGGAAGGACAGTCTTTGATTCTGAAGTGTTTGGTGGACAGTAATCCAGCCTCTGAAGTGACCTGGACCAAAGGAGAGAAGACCGTAGCCAGCAGTGTGACCGGACAGAAATTGGAGCTGTACCTGGACAATGTAAAGTCCAGCGACGCCAACACATACAGCTGTACAGCGCAGAACAAACATGGAGACACAAGTGACTTTGTTGATATTGAAGTGGAAGGTAAGTGACGGAATAAAGAGAACCTGTCATGTAAAGAGTACTTGAGTTTGATCAGCTATCATTCTCCATGAGGCACTGCTGGAGTGTGAGAAGAAGAAGCAGAACAAGAAGCCAATCAGTCCATGTGCTGACATAAAGCACGCTGATAGGAGGAGACAACAGAATGACAGAGAGATGAGTTAATCCCTATGCTGCTTCTCATTTCATTGACCAGCCATAGGCTGAGGTTGGGTTCAGGATGACCTGGGCTCAGAGGAAGTGGGTTGAATGATGCCGGTTATCAGACTGAGGGCATCTTGTGAAATAAAAAAGAGGGAAATCTGTGGATTGATGGTGAATAATGCAACAAAAGCTATTTTTGTTATTTTATCCCTTTAATTGGTGATTTATAAAGAGTATGCATTAACAGACCCCTAAATGTATATATGCTGAGGGGAGCTCAGAGCAAAGTGACAGCAAGATGATTTTATCAATCTGCTTCTTCTCCTTCACTGTCCAGTCACAGGTATGTGTGGGCCCAACGATCTCTTAGAGAACTTTTAAGTAAAAGTTATTTATTTATTTTTTTATGGGTATCATATGTTATTTTTTCTAGTGCAAGTTAGACTAATAAAGACAACATTTTAGTGGTTGATACATTCTCTGCATTAATGTTGTTTATGTCATTCTCAGTCCCATCATTAATACTGAACTGTAATGTCCCTTTCTTGCAGCTGGCAAAGTAGAAACTAGTGACAACCTCTATCCTGGTAAGAAATTATTTACCTTTTATATTACATTTGTGTATTTTTTTAGTACAACTAATAGATGTTCTGTAGATAGAGGGACAAGAGTTGCCCAACCATACCTCACCATACCATACCATGCCATATCATACCATACTGTACCTCCCTGTACCATACCATAGCATACCACACCATACCATGCTGTACTATATTATACCATGCCATACAGCAGCGTTTTTCAACCACTGTGCCGCGGCACACTATGTGCCGTGAGATATTGTCTGGTGTGCCGTGGGAAAAATTCCAATTTCATCTGTAACATGTGGCTTCGGCTCACAAATAGACCAATCATTAGAATCTAATGATTCAGTGGTCGGCAAGCCGCGGCTCGCGAGCCACATGCGGCTCTTTACCCAGTCTAATGCGGCCACAATCGACCACCACAACCTGTGTGCCGGGCGCCTGCTCCCCTCCCTCCTCTCGGTCGGCCCTCCCCTGCCTCCTCTCGGTTGGCAGCCCCAAAAGTCCGCGCGGACCTTTTAATCCGGCTTGCGGATGTGGCTGTCAGGATGTGTGTAGGCGGGGCAGCGTGCCGAACGTGAGGGGAGGGGAGCTAGGCTCCTCTCACAGTCCGCCCTGAAGACCCGAACGGCGCGGGAAGACAGCGAGAGGAACGCAAAAGGTAAGTGAATTGACACGGGGGACTTGGCTTACTAGAAGGGGGGGGGGGGAATAGTACTGTGGGGGATGAAATACTATATGAGGGATGAATTACTTTATGAGGGATGAAATACTATATGGGGGGATGAAATACTATATGGGGGATGAATTACTATATCAGGGATGAATTACTATATGAGGGATGAAATACTATATGGGGGGATGAAATACTATATGGGGGGATGAAATACTATAAGGGGGGGGGGATGAATTACTATATGAGGGATGAAATACTATATGGGGGGATGAAATACTATATGAGGGATGAAATACTATATGGGGGATGAATTACTATATGAGGGATGAATTACTGTATGAGGGATGAAATACTATATGGGGGGATGAAATACTATATGAGGGATGAAATACTATATGAGGGGATGAAATACTATATGGGGGGATGAAATACTATATGGGGGATGAAATACTATATGAGGGATGAAATACTATATGAGGGATGAAATACTATATGAGGGATGAATTACTATATGAGGGATGAAATACTATATGGGGGGATGAAATACTATATGGGGGGATGAAATACTATATGGGGGGATGAAATACCCCCTATGAAGGGATGAATTACTATGGGGGGATGAATTACTATATGGGGGATTAATTACTATGGGGGATGAATTACTATATGGGGGATTAATTACTATGCTTACTATGGGGGAATATTACTATACTTACTATGGATGACACATACACATCATTCATCTACTCTTGGTCCGGCCACAATGCCATACCATACCATACCATGTACTATGCCGTACCATACCATGCCATACCATAGCGTACCACACCACACCACACCACACAATGCCATACCATACCATATTATACTATGCCGTACCATACCATGCCATACACACTATAAAAGAAGCCATACCATACCATACCATACCATACCACACCATACCACACCATAAACCATACCAAACACCATACATACCACACACATACACCACAACACCACACAATGCCATACCATACCATCCGTACCATGCCATACCAAACCATGTCATGTCATACCATACCACACACCATACCACACTATACCATACCATACCACACCACACCATACATACCATACCACACCATACCATACCATACCACACCACACCATACCACACCATACCACACCATAGCGTACCACACAACACCACACAATGCCATACCATACCATATTATAATAATGCCCGTACCATGCCATACCAAACCATGTCATGTCATACCATACCACACCATACCATACCATACCACACCATGCCATACCACACCATACCATACCACACCCATACCATACCACACCACACCATGCCACACCACACCATGCCACACCACACCACACCACACCACACCACACCACACCATACCATACCACACCATGCCATACCACACCATACCATACCACCACCATACCATACCACACCACCACACCATACCATACCATGCCATACCACACCATACCACGCCATACCACACCATGCCATACCACACCATACCATACCACACCACACCACCATACCACACCATACCACACCATACCATACCACACACCATACCATACCACACCATACCATACCATAACATAGCGTACCACACCACACAATGCCATACCATACCATATTATACTATGCCATACCATACAATGTCATGCCATACCATACCATAGAATGCCATAAAATACCATAACATAGCATACCACACCACACAATGTCATACCAAATTATACTATGCCGTACCATACCATACCATACCATACCATGCCATACCATACCATATTATACCATGCCATACTATACCATACCATGCCATATCATACCATACCATGCCATATCATATTATATCATGCCTTGCCATACCATACCGTACTGTACCAGATTGTACCATACCATAGAGTACCACACTATACCATACTGTACCATAACATAGCGTGCCACACCATACAATGCCATACCATATTATATATCATGCCATATCATACCTTACCACACCATATCATGCCATACCATAATATACCATACCATACCATATTGTACCATACCATACTGTACCATATTGTACCATACTATATTATACCATACCGTACCATACCATAGGGTACTAAACTATACCACACTGCACCATACCATACCATACCGTACCATATACTACCATTCCATGCTATTACATACAATACCATACCATAACATACCATACCATACTGTACCATATAATACCATTCCATACTATTCCATACAATACCATACTATTCCATACCATACTATACCATACCAATTCAATTAACCATACTGTACAGGTGTTATTAGCAGATACATGTGAAGAGGTTCCATAGCAAACCATCAAGGGCCCCCTAGCCTTTATCTTCATCAAAAAGACAATTCCTTTAACATAAATAATTTCCATAGACATTCTTTACATGTTCCCAAACTATATCCATGTATTTATTTGTTTATGTGCCAAATGCTATTGCTACATGACACTGTGTAACAAGACAGTGCTGGGCCCCCCTGTACTTCTGGGCCCCATAGCAGTTGCATGGCCCTCTATGGCTATAGTTACACTCTTATAAGTATGCTGCTATGATTAAGAATATTATTCCACATTATTAGCAAAACATAGACAGCAAAATAATGATTTGGTTAGAATTAGAGTCTTGCCCATGTGAGGTGACAATCTAAAAGACGATTCTATTACAGATGCATCTCCAGATTTAGAAGAAGTCACTGCAGCTTCGCCTCAGCAAGGTAAGCAGAATATTTAGCAATTTAATGTCTTCTATTTAGAGTTTAGACCTATTTTAAATTGATTGGATGGTGTGATGATGATGATGATGATGATGATGATGAATGAAGAGCATGCATCTCCCTACCATACCAGAACATCAGGAAATTAAAATGGTTGTTTTATCAGCTTCCAGTGACATCGATTACAAACTCCTTGCTGGGCTGATAGCAGGAAATGTCCTGGTCCTGTCGCTGATCGCTCTGGTGCTTTTCTGCTTTGTGAGAAGGAATATGAAGAGAAGACAGCAAGGTATTAACCGAGATGCTCTCAACACTAAATATTATAATATGTGCCATATAGTAAGCCAACCAATTGGCGTACATATTTTATTTTGTTATATTATTATTAATATAACTGTGATTAGTTTTTATATTGCATTCCATATATGGAATGTGTGCCATATAGAAACTCGTCATACATTTTTATATTGGTATAATATATTATTGTAATTATATTATAATATTTATTTAGTATATTATTGTTAATATTACTGTACTTTCTATACCTGGTTGGGGAGGGGTATAGGTTTGCCCCAATTTTTTTTTTACAGTGTACGCAGAAATTTTTCTGGTGTTTCCAATAGTACAAAAATGACCTCAACAGTATAATGCGTCATATAAAAATGCAAAATAATAATAATAATAATAATATATATTATTGTTGTTTTTGTTCTTGCTATTATTATTATTTTGCATTTTTATATGACGCATTATACTGTTGAGGTCATTTTTGTACTATTGGGAACACCAATCAAAAATTGCTCATACATTGTAAAAAAAAATAGGCACATGCAGAAACTCTTCTTGGAGAGCTCTCCAGCCTCTCCTGGTGTACCTCCCCAGACCGTAGATAATCCTCTTCTTATCCAGCTGCCTGAGGGAATCCCTGGGCAAGGGTATCCAGTGCCTGCCACTTTAAAATGAAAACAGTCCCGGATAAGGAGCTAATCAGGTTTCCCCAAAGAGTGCTCTCTCTTCCCTTGTTTGGCCCAGGAGGTGTAGGATTACTCACTCAGTCTCAGTCCTGCAAGCAGATTTAGGTAGGTAGCTGCCTTCATGCTTTCCGCTGGGCTGGCTCCTTTCCTGGCTCTACAGGTGGTCCTCTGGGGACCGATGAGGCTGAGTGATCCTCCTTTCCAGTACCCTGCCTGTAGGTAGGCTCTTTTCCAGTGGGCCCCCTCCCAAGCTCCTGCATCTCAGCTTCCTCACATCCTCCACTCCTGCTACTTAACAGGATCTAGCACATTTAAGGGCTGCCTTGGCCCTATGCCAGGCCTTCTGCTTGGGGATTTGCAAAGGTCAGCCCCTCCTCATCCCCCTCAGTGCTTCTAGAATCTTCTCCAAGACTCTAGAGCAGGAGGAGGTATCTGGGAACTGACCTGCAGAGCCTCTCAGCCCTGATCCAAATTTAACCCTGCTAACCATTATACCCAGGCTGCTACTCAGCCCTCCTTACTAAAAATTGAACACTAGCTCCCCCTGGCTATCTAGAGGGGTTCTACAAATGGGATTCTGAGTGTCCCAAGTGAGAATTAACAACAGGATCCCAGCCCAGCAGACAAAGAGCACTAAGCATTCAGTTATTCTTCTACATATGATTGGTTGCTGTAGTATATTGCACTCAGTAAGTTTGTTATTTTGTTTTTCTGGTATGTATTATATAATAAATATGGCCAATGCCTGCCCATTGAGAATATCTCGGAAACTTGTCTTCCTTTTCTAGCTATTATCAACAATGGTCAAGAGCTCAGTTCACAGGGAACATCGGCCTACAAGGTATGACTCTGCATGGTTATTGGTGGGATGTGTTCCTATTCTTCAGCTGGTGAATGCGTACCTATTCTTCTACTGGTGAATGCGTTCCTATTCTTCTACTGGTGAATGCGTACCTATTCTTCAACTGGTGAATGCGTACCTATTCTTCTACTGGTGAATGCGTACCTATTCTTCTACTGGTGAATGCGTTTCCTATTCTTCAACTGGTGAATGCGTACCTATTCTTCTACTGGTGAATGCGTTCCTATTCTTCAACTGGTGAATGCGTACCTATTCTTCTACTGGTGAATGCGTTCCTATTCTTCAACTGGTGAATGCGTACCTATTCTTCAACTGGTGAATGCGTACCTATTCTTCAACTGGTGAATGTGTACCTATTCTTCAACTGGTGAATGTGTACCTATTCTTCTACTGGTGAATGCGTACCTATTCTTTCTACTGGTGAATGCGCTCCTATTCTTCAACTGGTGAATGCGTACCTATTCTTCAACTGGTAAATGCGTTCCTATTCTTCAACTGGTGAACGTGTACCTATTCTTCAAATGGTGAATGCGTACCTATTCTTCAACTGGTAAATGCGTTCCTATTCTTCTACTGGTGAATGTGTTCCTATTCTTCAACTGGTAAATGGGTACCTATTCTTCAACTGGTGAATGTGTACCTATTCTTCAACTGGTGAATGCGTTCCTATTCTTCAACTGGTGAATGCGTTCCTATTCTTCAACTGGTGAATGCGTACCTATTCTTCAACTGGTGAATGCGTACCCATTCTTCTACTGGTGAATGCGTACCTATTCTTCAACTGGTGAACGCGTACCTGTTCTTCAACTGGTGAATGTGCACCTATTCTTCAACTGGTGAATGCGTACCTATTCTTCAACTGGTGAATGCGTACCCATTCTTCTACTGGTGAATGCGTACCTATTCTTCAACTGGTGAACGCGTACCTGTTCTTCAACTGGTGAATGTGCACCTATTCTTCAACTGGTGAATGCGTACCTATTCTTCAACTGGTGAATGCGTTCCTATTCTTCAACTGGTGAATGCGTACCCATTCTTCTACTGGTGAATGCGTACCTATTCTTCAACTGGTGAACGCGTACCCATTCTTCTACTGGTGAATGCGTTCCTATTCTTCAACTGGTGAATGTGCACCTATTCTTCTACTGGTGAATGCGTTCCTATTCTTCAACTGGTGAATGCGTTCCTATTCTTCAACAACTGGTGAATGCGTACCTATTCTTCAACTGGTGAATGCGTACCCATTCTTCTACTGGTGAATGCGTACCTATTCTTCAACTGGTGAACGCGTACCTGTTCTTCAACTGGTGAATGTGCACCTATTCTTCAACTGGTGAATGCGTACCTATTCTTCAAATGGTGAATGCGAACCTATTCTTCAAATGGTGAATGCGTACCTATTCTTCTCTTGGTGAATGCGTACCTATTCTTCTCTTGGTGAATGCGTACCTATTCTTCAAATGGTGAATGCGTACCTATTCTTCTACTGGTGAATGCGTACCTATTCTTCAACTGGTGAACGCGTACCTGTTCTTCAACTGGTGAATGCGTACCTATTCTTCAAATGGTGAATGCGTACCTATTCTTCTCTTGGTGAATGCATACCTATTCTTCAACTGGTGAATGCGTACCTATTCTTCAACTGTTAAACCCAACACCAAAAATTTAATATATTGCAGAATACCAATCCTTAGATGTGATGGTTGCATTAGTTTTTTTTTTTTTAACCTTTTTTCTCTCTGTTTTCCCCTTGTGATCTGGCCAATAAAGCACCTCTTGTATTAGAGCGTCCTCACTCTGGATGAAGGATCACAGGAGACACAGCAGACAGCAGCATTGTCAGTCTGGGGAGGAGAGGACTGTCCAATGTATTGGCAGATTTAAATGCACTAACAAATTGAAGCCAAAATCCAGCTCATGCTTTATAAACAGTTACAGTAAAGTTTTTTCCTTTTTGGGATAAAGGTTTTACATGAATGAATAAAAAATGATCATTGTAAGCACCCCTGTCAGTGTTAGATGGTTTGTCTCATCCCTGTAAAATAATATATTTATAGATCTGTTTTGAAAACAAAAACAGACTTACTGGCCAGATCACCGGATTAAAATAAATGAAATAAAGCTTAAAAATAGTGGGCACCAGTGACAGCCGTTCTTAACACCATATATTAAACATGCCTGAATGACTCTACTAACATGTGAGTCTTCCTACTTTTTATGCTGTATTAAGTGGTCTGCTGCACTTAGAGGCGCTTCTTCTCTCTTTACTCTCTGGGATCTGGCTGTAGAAAAAAACATCAAAAGCCAAAAACAGCCGCTGCAAAAAAGGTCCAATGTGCATGAGGACTAAAGTGGGAGAGAAGACATCTCGGCATGTAGTTACGAGAAGTAAAGCTGATTTTTGAGGGGCTGCTTGTTCCTCGCCCATAATGGGCTGTTGCTACTGATCTGCAATGACTGACAGCTTTCAGGAGAAGAACAGTCCAGGATCTGCCCATATACATAGGAAGAAACCAGATATAGTGAATGCAGGGTCCAGGGAGACCAGATATAGTGAATGCAGGGTCTGGGGAGACCGGATATAGTGAATGCAGGGTCCGGGGAGAGCGGATATAGTGAATGCAGGGTCTGGAGAGAGCGGATATAGTGAATGCAGGGTCCGGGGAGAGCGGATATAGTGAATGCAGGGTCCGGGGAGAGCGGATATAGTGAATGCAGGGTCCGGGGAGAGCGGATATAGTGAATGCAGGGTCCGGGGAGAGCGGATATAGTGAATGCAGGGTCCGGGAGAGCGGATATAGTGAATGCAGGGTCCGGGGAGAGCGGATATAGTGAATGCAGGGTCCGGGGAGAGCGGATATAGTGAATGCAGGGTCCGGGGAGAGCGGATATAGTGAATGCAGGGTCCGGGGAGAGCGGATATAGTGAATGCAGGGTCCGGGGAGAGCGGATATAATGAATGCAGGGTCCGGGGAGAGCGGATATAGTGAATGCAGGGTCCGGGGAGAGCGAATATAATGAATGCAGGGTCCGGGGAGAGCGGATATAGCGAATGCAGGGTCCGGGGAGAGCGGATATAGCGAATGCAGGGTCCGGGGAGAGCGGATATAGCGAATGCAGGGTCCGGGGAGAGCGGATATAGCGAATGCAGGGTCCGGGGAGAGCGGATATAGTGAATGCAGGGTCCGGGGAGAGCGGATATAGTGAATGCAGGGTCCGGGGAGAGCGGATATTGTGAATGCAGGGTCCGGGGAGAGCGGATATAGTGAATGCAGGGTCCTGGGAGACCACATATAGTGAATGCAGGGTCCGGGGAGACTGGATATAGTGAATGCAGGGTCCGGGGGACCAGATATAGTGAATGCAGGGTCCGGAGAGACCGGATATAGTGAATGCAAGGTCCGGAGAGACCGGATATAGTGAATGCAAGATCCGGGAGAGCAAATATAAGGAATGCAGGATCTGGGGAGACCAGATATAGTGAATGCAGGGTCCGGGAGACCAGATATAGTGAATGCAGGGTCCGGGGAGACCAGATATAGTGAATACAGGGTCCGGGGAGAGCGAATATAATGAATGCAGGGTCCTACTTCCATTGATTCAAGCCAACTGGGCATCCCATAATCTCTATTTCCCTATCCAAGTTGAATTCCCCTAATAAAACAACAAAACCAAGCCCATGGACTGGTCACCATCTCCTGGATGCAAGTCTGTGCGAGAAATACCTGTTGCCTGGCTGTGCAGAGAGAAGCTTAGACATACCCACAACACAGAGGCTCTCACGAGGGTAGCCACCTAGGAAATGGTAAACTGCAATATAAAATTGTTTGTTTTTGGGTTTATTATACAGCTTGAAGGCATATCTTCTTCGGGAAATCCTAGTAGCCCGGCTATTGTGTTGACAAAGCGGTTTTACCTTTACTTGCCTGATATAATGTTTATAGACTGGTTTGCGTATTTTACACCTGAATAGCTTTATATTTTTATGGTTTTCTTTTCTTTTCAAGGGCTTCAATAATTAAGTTTGGATTTATGGACATTATACATTTTGACATCATCATCTCTCCAAACTGCTATGATGGAATGCTCATTATTTATGGTGTTGGAGGACTTTATTCCTTTCCTTTCTGCTACTCGCCACCATTCCCCTTCCCATATCATCCCAATTCCTTGTCATCCCCTTCAGTCTGTTCTCCCGTACCCAACCCATATAAAGACGGGTCATTGCCTTCCAACCCCAATACCAGCACTCTGTTTGCAGCCCCTACCCATCCTTCTTACCATCCTCTTCCCATATCATCCCAATTCCTTGTCATCCCCTTCAGTCTGTTCTCCCGTACCCAACACATATATAGACGGGTCATTGCCTTCAACACCTCAATACCAGCACTCTGTTTGCAGCTCCTACCCATCCTTCTTACCATCCCCCTTCCCATATCATCCCAATTCCTTGTCATCCCCTTCAGTCTGTTCTCCCGTACCCAACCCATATATAGACGGGTCATTGCCTTCCACACCCCAATACCAGCACTCTGTTTGCAGCTCCTACCCATCCTTCTTACCATCCTCTTCCCATATCATCCCAATTTCTTGTCATCCCCTTCAGTCTGTTCTCCCGTACTCAACCCATATATGGACGGGTCATTGCCTTCCACACCCCAATACCAGCACTCTGTTTGCAGCCCCTACCCATCCTTCTTACCATCCCCTTCCCATATCATCCCAATTCCTTGTCATCCCCTTCAGTCTGTTCTCCCGTACCCAACCCATATATAGACGGGTCATTGCCTTCAACACCTCAATACCAGCACTCTGTTTGCAGCTCCTACCCATCCTTCTTACCATCCCCTTCCCATATCATCCCAATTCCTTGTCATCCCCTTCAGTCTGTTCTCCCGTACCCAACCCATATATAGACGGGTCATTGCCTTCCACACCCCAATACCAGCACTCTGTTTGCAGCTCCTACCCATCCTTCTTACCATCCCCTTCCCATATCATCCCAATTCCTTGTCATCCCCTTCAGTCTGTTCTCCTGTACCCAACCCATATATAGATGGGTCATTGCCTTCCACACCCCAATACCAGCACTCTGTTTGCAGCCCCTACCCATCCTTCTTACCATCCCCTTCCCATATCATCCCAATTCTTTGTCATCCCCTTCAGTCTGTTCTCCCCGTACTCAACCCATATATGGACGGGTCATTGCCTTCCACACCCCAATGCCAGCACTCTGTTTGCAGCTCCTACCCATCCTTCTTACCATCCCCTTCCCATATCATCCCAATTCCTTGTCATCCCCTTCAGTCTGTTCTCCCGTACCCAACCCATATATAGACGGGTCATTGCCTTCCACACCCCAATACCAGCACTCTGTTTGCAGCCCCTACCCATCCTTCTTACCATCGGCTATTCTAGTGACTCCATTGTCTCCGTCTGCTTTATCCCAGAAGGTTTTACAACTAGGTGTGCCGGATATGAAGAGCTGAATCTGGAAGATCCTCTGATCCTGGATAAACACATCTAGAAACTCTTGTGCTACAATGCTTCTAGTTCTAGGATGACTACCAGTAACACTTTAATTGAACAAGATGAAGTTAGAAGCTGATTGGCTACCAAGACCAGCTGCACCAGATTTTGCACTCTTCAGCTTTAGTAAATAAATTTTTTCACAATCATGAGATAAAACAAGTCGTGGTGTTATAATAACTGTTTGCGTAGCATCATATTTTATGGTTGTATGTTAATAGAATGCTTTTGATTTTGGCAATTATTTATCTGTTACAGAATTGATATAAATGAATAAGAATAAATAAATAAACCCGTATTTATTACACTTTTCTGGGATGATCATTCTTATGCTTTGCTTACACAGTGTATATTTAAACCCTACTTTTCCTACTGCTACTAAATCTCATATTGTATTTTAAATCTGCAGCTTTCATTAGAGTAGAATTTCATGCTGCACTTCGCCAATCAAAAAGTATTACTAAACCCAGGACCCTGCATTCACTAAGGTCCCTTTCAGATGGGATGGATCCATCAGTGTGATCCGCCCCGTTCAACGGGGGGATCTATCCGCTGATTTCCACTGAGCCGGCGAATGATAGGATTCTGTCTGCTCTGCTGCTGTACAACAGACACTGACCACTGATTTCAATGGGACGGTCGGATGGAAATGGACCGTCTGTCTATTTCCACCCGATGGTCATCTGATCCAATCCGCTGAACAGATGGGGGAATGATCCCCATCCATCAGTTTTTGGCATAGAGGATCGAATCGGATGGCAGCGGGTGTCAGTGGACTATTGCCTGCTGACACCGGTCCATAGAAGTCTATGGATAGACTGATCGGGTCCACCTAAAAAATGAACAGGTGGACCCCATCGGTCTGCTCATGTGAAAGGAACCTATATCTAGTCTCCCCGGACCCTGCATTCACTATATCTGCTCTCCCCAGACCCTGCATTCACTATATCTGGTCTCCCCGCATCCTGCATTCACTATATCCGGTCTCCCCGGACCCTGCATTCACTATATCCGGTCTCCCCGGACCCTGCATTCACTATATCTGGTCTCCCCCGCATCCTGGATTCACTATATCTGGTCTCCCGGACCCTGCATTCACTATATTTGGTCTCCCCGGACCCTGTATTCACTGTATCTGATCTCCCCGGACCCTGAATTCACTATATCTGCTCTCCCCCCGGACCCTGCATTCACTATATCTGCTCTCCCCGGACCCTGAATTCCCCGGACTATATCTGGTCTCCCCGGACCCTGCATTCACTATATCCGGTCTCCCCGGACCCTGCATTCACTATATCCGGTCTCCCAGGACCCTGCATTCACTATATCCGGTCTCCCTGGACCCTGCATTCCCTATATCCGGTCTCCCCGAACCCTGCATTCACTATATGTGGTCTCCCCGGACCCTGCATTCACTATATCGGTTCATTCTATATCCGGTCTCCCCCGGACCCTGCATTCACTATATACGGTCTCCCCGGACCCTGCATTCACTATACACGGTCTCCCCGGACCCTGCATTCACTATACACGGTCTCCCCGGACCCTGCATTCACTATACACGGTCTCCCCGGACCCTGCATTCACTATATCCGGTCTCCCCGGACCCTGCATTCACTATATGTGGTCTCCCCGGACCCTGCATTCACTATATCCGGTCTCCCCGGACCCTGCATTCACTATATCCGGTCTCCCCGGACCCTGCATTTACTATATCCGGTCTCCCCGGACCCTGCATTCACTATACCTGGTCTCCCCGGACCCTGCATTCACTATATCTGGTCTCCCCGCATCCTGCATTCACTATATCCGGTCTCCCCGGACCCTGCATTCACTATACCTGGTCTCCCCGGACCCTGCATTCACTATATATCCGGTCTCCCTGGACCCTGCATTCACTACATCCGGTCTCCCTGGACCCTGCATTCACTATATCTGGTCTCCCCGGACCCTGGATGCACTATATCTGGTCTCACACAGTACACACAACATGGAAATGCGATTATTTTAGTAATTATAAACTGCTAAATCCCTTTTCTCATCAACAGTATATAGCAGTCTTGTGACCTCTATCAGTGTCCAGCAGAGCACTGGTTAAAGCTTCAGGAGGAGTTTTCATTCTCCTCTGACTGTCCTATGGGACTGCATGACCCCTGACCCTCTGTCTGGATAGTGCTGATTGGCCCTGTGCTGGTCACATGCACTCCCTCAAGAAAAATAAAAACCTCTCTAGAAATATACACCAAACTGAGCATGTGCAGACTTCCCCCCAAGGCTCTGTTCTATCACCAAATGGATAGAGGACTGTAGAAGAAGGGGAGGTTTAGAGAAGACAGGATCAAACAGCCTTTTTACATAATGCGAGGGATCAACCCTTTAGGTTCCACAGTGAGTATAACAAGCATGCTTTACTGTATATACAGACTGATTTTACTATTTTGGTTAAAGCTTGTGGGAGGAGTTTTCATACCCCTCTGACTGTCCTATGAGGCTGCATGACCCCTGTGCACAGCCATCCAAAGCAGTGTGCATGAGCTGACAGGGAGGAGAACTGTTTTGTTTATAAACAGTTCTCCTCCCCGTAGAAAGATGCTCGGCAATCACTGGGCACCAGCAAGTAATCACTGGCCGTGATTGATATCTGCGGCCGCGAATGGCGACGCGGGTAGGGCGTGCGAGCGCCTCGCGTGCGCCCCCTACCTGGGAATGCAAAAATCGTGTATATATATATATATGTGATTTTGCGCACCCGTGCCGCCCTGTAGCAGTATTTATACAGGGTGGTTGTATATCCTCGGGACAGAAAACTTTCACACATTGGATGTATAAAAAATCTAGAATTTTATTAGATGTAGTAAAGTAGAACATACACACCCTGCCATAAAATCAGGTAAGAAAATAAAGCCTTCAGTACAGTGAACCCCATTTGACACCTTCCCTCTTGTACCAATGCCCAACCATGACCAAAAGGTCACCCAAAAATCAAGCATGAATATGGGAAGGTGCCAGAGGCGGACTGACTATTTGGAAACTCGGACACTGCCCAAGGGCCAGGGTTTAGTGGGGGGCCCCATGAGATGCCCCTGGTACCTTTTTCATAGGCTTTTTTGAGTTTGGGCAAGGACACAAGGGCCCCATGATCCCCTATTGCCCGAGGGCCCCATGAGTTGTCAGTCCGCCCCTGGGTAAAGCCCAACGCGTTTCACCGAGTTGGCTTCTTCAGGGGTTCAGAGGGGGGGGGGAAACACCATACTGACGGTTGCTCAAACCAAGGATCGACCCCGAGAGAGAGAGAGAGAGAGAGAGGCAAGCACAATGGGACCGAATATTGCCGAGAGCTTCCAGACCAAGGAACACAAGAACCCCCAAACCGCACTACCTGAGGAAGGGGAGATTCCTAGTCCATGGCTATCCTCCTCCAAATTATAGGAACAAGTAGCCCACAAAGAAATGGCAAAATAATATATAGCTTGATAGATGGCAAATACCTGCAGTAACTGGAACCCCAAGAAATTCATCCACCCCTCGTAGGAAGATAGGAAGCCAAATTCAGGCAGGCAAAGTAGCTCTCTGTCTTTCCTACAAGAAACTCTCTCCAGGGGATCAGCATCACAGCTGCCTTCCTGTACCTTGTATGGGCAGGCAGTGACTGAATGACAGGAGGAATCGATGGCCTACAAATGCGCTTATCAGCCCCCTTCATCCTGGGGATTTGCCATCATCCCCTAGTGCAAGGGAAAGGAAGGGGGAGGAATTGGAGGGGGGGGGAGTGACTTTCATTGCCACTGACTACCCGAAAAATGTTGATAGTACTGACCTCAAAGCTGGGGGTTATTATTGCATTCACTGACACCAATGCCGGGGGTTATTATTGCATCCACTGACACCAGTGCTAGGGGTTGTTTTTGCATCCACTGACACCAATGCTGGGTGTTATAATTTCATCAACGGACACCAATGCTGGGGGTTATTATTGCATCCACTGACACCAATGCTTGGGGTTATTATTACATCCACTGACACTAATGTTAGGAGTTATCACTACAGCCACTGACACCAATGCTGGAGGTTATTACTGTAGCCACTGACACTAATGTTGGGGGTAATTATTGCATCTCCTGATTCTAATGCTGGGGGTTATTATTGCATCCACTGACACTAATGTTGGGGGTTATTATTGCATCCACTGAAACTAATGCTGGGAGTTATTAATGCATCCACTGACACTAATGCTGTGAATTATTATTGCATCCACTGACACCAATGTTGGGGGTTATTATTCCATCCACTTACACTAATTTTGGGGGTTATTATTATGGCCACTGACACCAGTTTTTGTGTGTTTTTGTTGCACTCACTGACACCAATTCTGGGTATTATTTTTTCACCCACTGATATTAATGCTGAAGGTTATTATTGCATCCACTGACACTAATGTTGGGGGTTATTATTGTGGCCACTGACACCAATGTCGGTGTTATTGTTGCACTCACTGACACCAATTCTGGGTATTATATTAATGCTTTTTTCATTTTTCATCCACTGCTACACAAAGCTGGGGGTTATTTCACTCCACCTTTTTCAGCATGCATTGAGATACACTGCAAAAATATTAGCTAGACCAAACCTTTGGGGCATTGAAATGTGAAAATACTGTGTGACCCTCTGAAAGTGTTTGGGGCCCTCTATAATTTTCCTGCTTTAAGGAAAAAGTGTTCATATTTTCACTTGCAGTATTCTCTGATTTACAACCACTAGAGGTCAGCAAATCACCACTGTCACTGCCTTATACAAACCTGAAGCTATTCCCAGGAGGCAATACTTATATGTGTCCACTAGATGTCAGCAGAGTACAACTTTTACCAAAAATTCATCCAAATGCCCTTGAAACCCTTCCTACATTCCAATATTGTGTTTGTGTCACCCCTACAACATGGTGGAGGCACAAAAGAGAGAACAG